TTTCCTTTTTTTTTTTTTTTTTTTTTTTTTTTTTTTTTGTCTTTTTTTCGTGTCCAGCAACGGATCACTACCCTCCGTGTCGCTCCCGTACCAGACCAGGACCAGCAACGGGATCGCAACCCTCGGTGTTGCACCCACACCTCGCTCAACCAGTGAGCGGGAACCGGTCTGTATGTGGGATCCGAACCCTGGGCGGGAGCGCTGCCACGCTCCCAAGCGGCGCACTGTAGCAGTGCGCCACCGGGCTGGCCCGAGTCTTCCTTTATTTCTTCAAGTTTTCTTAAGATCATTGCTCAAAATTCTTTTTCAGACATTTCAAGGATTCGCTGTTCCATGGAGTCTGACTTTGAGGCATTACTGTATCCTTTTGGTGGTGTCATTTCTTCTTGATTGTTTGTTATTCTAGTGTTTTTTCACTGATGCTTGGTCATTTGGTAGGGGGTTTACTCCTTGTATGACACTGAGATTGCCTGTGGAGTGGCCTTGGTTGCTACTGTGGGGAGTGAGTTGTCTTTGTTTGACAGTAGGTGTGGTGTGGGATATGTTAAACCACCTTGGTTCCCGTTCTAGACTCTGTGGTCATAGAATGAGCCCCTAGTGCATGGAGTTCTGCTGGGCCAAACTCGGTGGGTCAGAACCATAGGCTGGTGCTCCCCCTGGGTCTGAGGCAGGATGCGGGGCTGCGTGGAACTGCGTAACTCCGCTGGCTGGTGTTGCTGCCAGCCACCCCCGGTGGGCTCACCTGCGTGGTGCCGGTTCAGGGCGTGGGGGTGGGGCCTGGAGCTCCCCCTCTGCCTGGGTCCAAGGCGGCGGGGTGAGTGAGCCACGTGGAGCTGCGTGGAGCTGCGATTCCACTGGCTGGCACCCTTAACAGTTAACTTTAATAAAAGAAAGCAGAGCTTATATATTCATTCAGTCTTTTAAACAAGTATGGGAGGTTGTCTTAGTCTGTTTTGTATTGTCATAACAAAATACCACAGACTGGGTAATTTGAAGAAAATAATTTTTTTAGGCTCATAGTTCTGGAAGCTGGAAGGTCCGAGGGTATAACGCTGGCACCTGCCTGGCATCTGGTGGGGGCTTTCTTGCTGTGTCACTCCATGGCAAAAGGCAGAGGGCAAGAGAGCTCACATGCACGTGGGGGGAGGGGAAGGGGTTAGAGAGAGGGAAAGAGAGAGAGGGAGAGAGATGGGAAGGGAACCCGATAGCTAAGCCCCTTCACAGTAAAAGCACTAATCCATTTATGAGGGCAGAGCTTTCATGACCTAATCACCACTTAAGTGTCCCACATCTCAATTCTGTTGCACTGGGCATTGTTTCCAACCCATGAACTTTGGGGACACATTCAAACCACAGCAGAGACCAATATTATTTTCACCAGCTTCGTATTTGAGAAAAGTGTGGTGCAGAGAGCTTAGGGAAGTGGTTCAAGGTCACACAGTGGGGAAGGGGCTAAACCAAAACTTTCTCCTGGATTAATTAAAAAGCTCTTGCTCTTTGCAATTTTGTCTTAAAGCTGCCTAACTAGTTTGTGATTGTTATTTTTTAAATTTTACTCATATCAGTGGTCTCACATTTAAATTTTCTCAGTGCTTTATATTTGTAACATGAGATAGTTGGTATAAAGATGGATTTATACGAGGGTTTATACAAGATGTTGGGTTGATCCAAAGTCGTGGCTGGAGGAATCATGGGTCATTCCCTGGAGACAGGGAATTAGACGAGGAGTGCTTCAATCAGGAAACTTAGACGAAGTAACTCTGATCCTCATCCAAGGTTTTATTTATATGTTGTCTTCTCCTTTTGGGTATACAGCAGGAAAAAGTCTCAGCAGAAACAGTCTTATAATGATTTCTTTTGATACATTAGTGATTAACCCTGGGATAGTGTTCAAGATGGACTTGACATATTGAATCAAATAGTGTATCAGCTGCTTTCTTATTCTCAAGAATAGACATGTTCGGCAATTGGACATTTAGATTTTATTGCTTTTTTTTGCCATTTTGAAAAAATAAATAGTGAATAACATTATCCAGGAAGCTTTTTCTATATTTAGGTCCATTTTCTCAGAAAGGTTTTTCAACGTGGAATCATGATGTAGAATTTAAGCATATTTATTTGTTTACACAAGTTGTCCGGTTGCTTCCCAAATGTTTTATGAATTGACAGTCATATTAATAATAGGTAATGTTGCTATTATCTTCCAAAATACATGATCTCTTTTTCTGAATACGAAAGTAATTCATGTTGATTGTAGACAATGACAGGTCGTCGTAGGTGCTCATTGACAGGTGCCTTAGGTGCTCGTTTAGCACTTTTTGAATAAATGGATGAGAGCATAAGTCTTTTTACAATTTTTTTTCTGTAACAGACTAATCTTAAATGGCACGTTTTCTTTTATTGACAAATGCTACTCGCTCACTGTTCGACAAGAACTCTTTGATTCAACTGAGAGAGGCTTACAAGCTGATGTCCTTGACCATTTAAAATGAAAGCAACCATCTTTGTTTCTGTCACTCTGTATGCTGAAGAAGCCCTCCTGAGACCTGCTGCCACCACTGTTCCCCTGGCCGGCACGATGGGCATGGCTGGCTCTGGTGGCCACCTGCACACCTGCTCCACAGCCAGCCAGAAGGAACATCAGAGGCCTCAGTCTGTCAGCGAGGATAGCGGCTTAGTCCCAAGGTGTGCTGACTGAGAGGCCCTTTGTTCTTGTCAGAACCCTGTACCCACATCAGTGGGGACACCTTCAAGGACCTTAGGATTGGGAAATGGGCCTGGCCCTATCCGCATGCACAGAACAGTTACACAACTGCTCTGGCTTGAGGCTGCAGTCGGAGCAGCTTGTACTCATGGGTGAAAGCCAGCTGGAGACGTTGGGTTGATCCAAAGTCGTGGCTGGAGGAATCATGGGTCATTCCCTGGAGACGGGATGGGGACTCCACCTGGTTGACTTTCACAACTCCCATGTAAGAGTTCTCACTACCGCCGAATTTGGATGAGAACCCACAAGGGAAGAGAAGGGAAATCCCCGCAGAGTTAAAGAGGACCTTCAGGTTGCTTCATGTTTAACGTTTGTGTAAACGCTTTGGGTTGATTGTGTGGTGTCTGAACATGCTCTGTCGCCGTGGCTCATTGCATGGGCAGACAGTTGGATGAGGCTCTTTAGAATAATTCACGTGGAAAGGGAACAAAGAAGCCTATAAAGTAGAAGAACACATTTGAAAAGAGCTTCTGAAGAAAGTTCCAGCATATTGGCTTTGGCCTTGTGTTGTGCTCTACCACCTGGTTGCTGTGATTGTGGTAGCGCCTTTGCAGGCGAGGGAGAATCTGGCCAGGTCTGAATCTAATGTCCAAAGCCGGAGGCCGTATTTCTTCACTCTTAGGGTAATTTTGGTTCAAAGCGTGCTCCCTTAGCAAGCTGCCTGCTTCAAAAGCTCCAAGCCTCTTTGTTTTGTTATGCTTGCCTAAACACGTCTTTCAAAGAGCGAGGTTCGTAAATAAGACTATTATAATTCTTTTCTTTGCTTTTAAAAATAGACTACCAAGTGCGTTTCTGTAGTCTAACTTTGTCCTCTACTTTAAAATGTTTTCTTGGATCGATACCTTGAAACATTAGGGAGTTTCAAGGCTGTGTACTGGCAGGTGACGCAGAGCGGTTGCACCTGTGCTGCGTGACAAACAGTGTGGACAGACAGAGAGGCACATGCAGGTTTCTCACTAGCTGAGTGTGTTTTTAAATGTTTTCATTATATTCTAAATATTCTTTAACTAGACATTTAATTTGTTCTTTGATGGATTAGTTTAGCAGAATATTTTTATTCTCCAGCCAGTTGGCTTTTTAGTTTACACTCTTGTCATTGACTTTAGGTGTACAGTGTTATGGTTAGAAAATATTGCCTAGTGCATGTTATGTTTGTAAATGTTCTTTACACGCATGTGACATGCTCTGTTTTTGTAAAGTAAAAAAGTTCATTATATAGTTACTAACTCAACCTTGTAATTATATTATTTAATATTCCTTATGATATTTATTTTTTGTCTACTGGAGCTGTTATAGACTTATCCTGTCTTAAAGACTTTTATAGAATTTTCATCTATTCCCCCTTGAATTTTTAATATTTTTTCTTTGTGTATTTTAATATAATGCAACTCTATGCATTATGGGGATGAGCTATCTCTTATTATGAATTGCACCTGATATAAACTCAAACATCATTTATCACGTTTGTCTTGAAATGCCCTTTGATCAGAGTTAACATGTAAGTCACTAAAGCCCACACAGTTAATAAACATTGTTTTATTTTAGTTTGGCTACTTTACCCAGCATTTCACGTGATACCTTTGTTCTTTCTGTTCCAGTTTGCCAAGGCACAAGTAACAGGCTGACCCAGCTGGGCACGTTTGAAGACCACTTTCTGAGCCTCCAGAGGATGGTCAATAACTGCGAAGTGGTCCTTGGGAATTTGGAAATTACCTACGTACAAAGAAATTATGACCTTTCCTTCTTAAAGGTTAGTTCAGTGACTTTGGTTGTCCGACCCAAATGTAGTAGACACAGAAGTAGATAAAGACCTTGGCAGAGTTTGAAGTGAAGTGTGTTTACTTTTGCTATGGCAGTGACAAGTCCCAGGGAACTACAGATGAGGGTTTTATGAGAAGGCCACCTTACCAGCTGGTGTCAAGTTACAGCTAAAAAAGGGTATTCAAGAGAAACGGGCTAGTCTGGCATTCCACTGTCATCGTCATAGACGCTGATAGTAACCCCTGACCATTGTTCAGCTGAAGTGTGCTGGTGCACTAGCCCTTTAAAAAAAAAACAAAAAAAAAACCCCTGTTTTGTAGAATTTGCCTATATCCTTGTAAATACTCCCACCACAGCTGGTTTTAAGCTACCAGGAGTTTTACCACCAGTTCACAAAATTCCTACACTAGGGCTATAGTGAGCCAGTAGGAACCAGCTCTGAAGGCTTCAGAGTTTGGTGGTGGTTGAACTTTGATTGGATTTGCTTGGCTGCCTTCTGGGTTTGGTTGTTTGTTTTGTTTTGTTTTTAATTAGAAAGCATGTGAGA